AAAAGACTCCTTGATGTCCTCATTATCCGATTCACAGAAATTTTAGGGACCCTTAGTGGACCATATTATCTTCCTTCTAACAATGGCCATCCTCATTGTCAACACAAGAATCTAGAAGATAATGCAACCAAGTTTACCACACCAAAACCTAAATACCAAATACTGTACCATCTTTTCCCATGATCTAAAACAAACCATACTCTATATAAATCAATATTTTAAAAGCAATAGACACAAGAAAAGAATAAGGGCACTCCAGTGCCCAAGGCAAAAGCCACATTTTTTTAAGAAATTCAAAATAATGGAATACATTATTTTGGTGTCTTTGGCAAGAGAGGAATGCATGGTTCTTCAAAATTCTGGGGAAGGTATTTTCATGGTTGGATGGTCATATGCTGTTTAAGAATTTAGGTTTTCCATCTTTTTTTGCACAGGACAATCCTTTTGTAAACCAGGGTGGGTGGTCAAGGTCAGAGGGGACAGCTTTTTTTTGGCCCCTGATTACATCATCTTTCTGTACTTTTGTTCATATTAATACATCTATATTTTATCTTCTCTCAAAACAAATAATGAAAAACATTAATACATAAAAAAAATAAAAAATTTTAATTTTAAAAGAAATTATATGTTTTAAGACAAATTCAAAACAAAATATGGAAAGCTCTTTTTCTGAGAGAAGGTAAAGTAAAGTTGCATTAATTGTGTTTTCTAAAACTCAGATTACAATTGTATTGCATATGTGCAAAGGTAAAGCTAGAAACCAATGTTTTAAAACGCGGAGGCATGACGCGAAGCATTCCACTACCTAGAGGCGTGAGGGGTAGTTCAGAACGTAAGAGGCGTAAGCTTATGCCTCCTTAAGAGGAGGGGGATGAGGAGGAAGAAGAGGAATAAAAGTCTCATTTTTTTATTTTTTATAAAAATCTTTTATATTAAGAAAACACCTACAAACTGTATTATAGTCATATATATAAAGGGGTTGGTTTTGCAATTTTTGGTCACAATTCATTCTATTTAGGGTTAGAGATAAGAAAATATTTGTATTTTTGTGGCTTTTTAGTGGAAATTTTTGTATCTAAAATCATATCCACAACATCTAGGGTTTCGAGAATTCAAAAGGTCATTGTTTTTTATTTCCCTTAAAAATTTAAACACCATTATTGGTGAATAAACACCAATAAATGGAAACTTAGTAGATCATAGACCATTACAAGGGCCTGGAACACATAAAGAATGCATAAACAGGAAAATGTCGAGGCACAAGGTGTACTAGCATCACGTAGGTTCAAATGAATTGCCTTCATGTGCCTCAGCTATGACCTAAGGTGTGCCTATTAAAACACTAAAATAAACCAGAACAAGTAGTTCAAATTTCTTAAATCATACACATGCTTCTCAACTTCTGATTGAGATATGGCAATGATACAAAGTTGACTTCTTTAGATCAATTTGTAAGGGAGAAGTGAAGTGCAATAGAGAAACAATGGAGAGAAAGAAAGAGATTTTGAGGGAAATTTTGGGAATGGGTCATACACCTGTTCCACTTCCTTTTATTCATAACTTATGTGGATATTACAATAATGGCCCTGATATTGTATATCAATTTTTTTATAGCAACAGAAAAGGAAATTCTATTAAAAGAGAAAAACAGAGTACAACTGACAAAAGTATTAAGACAACACCTAAGAATACAACCACTCAAATAAACTCAAATTTGCACAAAGAGAGAGAATACATCTAAACCCCAAATAGAGCTACACTCCCCCTCAAGTAAATATATGTTAGGCCTCCTCATGACCCATTAATGAGCAGACCCATAGCCAGGGTCACCCAAGGAGATATAGGCCCACTACAGATGCTACCCATGGTGAGGCCCAAATCAAGCATTCACACTCTCTCTCTCTCTCTCTTATCGTCTTGGCAAGCTCCCCTTGAAGGAGCTCCAACGATAGGTAGATTCTAGATTGGTATCAGAACCCTGTCTTCACTAATGACGCTCACTAGATCAACAATGATGGAAGACCAAAGTGACCAAATCAGAGTAGATCTGCATAAGATGGTTAGAGAACTCCAAGAAACTAAGAAATCGTGTTGATGATTGTCACCAGGTATGAGCAACTGGCTCAAAACAGCGGTGGGATAGTGATTGAAGGCTACAGCCAGGAAACCAACAAGAACAGTTCATCTACATGGAGGCAAGCGAAGTTGGAATTCCCTTCATATTCTGGTGAAGATCCCATTCTTTAGATCTTTAAAGCAGAAATATGTTAAAAAGTGTATGCCCTCAACTCCAATCAGATTGATGTGCAGATGCATTTATTGTAAATGAATAAAAGTACATTATTGTTTCATGTTGATATAAGCATGTTTCTGTGAAATTACCCCTTAAACTGGACACTTATGAGACTCGTGTTAGTTTTGAATGTTCTCAGCCGTTGGATAGACTTGGGAAGTTTATCCTAACAAGGTTGACACTGATGTGCTACCAAAGTTGGAGCAACTTGTCTCAACTGCTAGGGTTAGACCCAAAGCACATGCAATGTGTGTTTGGTTGAAACACTAAACCCAGACTATTTTCCAGTTATGCCCAGGACCTTGGAGATTGACGGGCAAAACTAAAAAGTTACACATAACCCCCTAGACTTGATTATGGTATTGCACTAGGTATCGGATTGGGTTGTCTTTGATATGTCAATCAGTGAGATCCACTATGGGTCAAAACCAGGGTATGTTGGGGCAGTCTGAGAATTCACTTAAATAGGTGATCATAGTGATAGGATCGGCCCCTTTGTCGAACAAAGTGAATGATAGGGTTTATACTCTCTCTAATGGAAACCTAAACTGTCGGCAATGAATTTCAACTATATTTGAGATTTGGTTTTGCAAAATATATTTATATGATATATGTATATATTATGTTTTATGAAAAATGTTTGCAAAAGGTTTTAATTCCCAGGATCCATCCGAGCAGAGAGTGTGATACTGCACCTGGCAGCCAAGGGAGAGGTCCTTCCCTGTCGGGCAATGTTTAATCATTATGGACCAAGAGGTTAAGTGTAAGAGACCATTACAGGGTTGATTACCTAATGGGCTTTATCTTACTTAAGTCCATTATCCTTGGGTCTTCATAGGATGGCTGAATTCAATGATCATTTAAGTGTAAATGTTGGGCCCGTTTTGATCCCATAATGATGTGCTCAGGGGTTCACTACGTTTAGCAGTGAATTCGGCTAAGCCTTTTTACAAAGGCTAGGTCGAACCCATGTGGACTTATGTGAGGTCATTGTGGGGTCCCACGCCATACAAATCAGGCCCAAGTTGGCCATGCAACACTCTTGGGTCGTGAACCTTATAGTTGATGGGCTTAAAGCCCATAATTAATATGATTAATTAAGCTGTCACATGACAACTTATGTCATGTGACATGGGGCGAATCTGGGTTTAGAAATGGGTATGGAGCACCCATCCTCTTAAGAGGATAAGGCTTATCTCTTAATAGTCTGGATCCAAATTAAATTTGGATAATCTCCTAATTTGATTAGGAGAAGTGCTCTATAAAGAGAGAAAAGAAGAGAGCGAACTGATCAAGAACTCTCTATTCTGCTCTCTCTTCTTCTTTTGTCTCCAAAGAAACCCTAGTTCGACCACAGCTATTTTGGGACCGATATAAATCAGTTTTCTTTTGATTTTTGCAAGAAAAATTCCGAGGAATTTCGTGCTCACCTCCCCAATTCGATCCAAGCAGTTGGATTGCAGTGTTAAAGAAAACTGCGTTGGTGAATCGGCTTCAGGAGTACACTATGCCATTTTCAGAGGAAGTTGGTTTTAGGACTAATTTGGGCGTGAACTTCCACCTTGGGATCTATGTTTGTGGTATCCATATCTGGTATACATCTCCCTCTTTGGTTTGTTTCAAATCTAGTCCGGTTTAGTGCAAGACCGATCCTGAAAAATGCAGTTTTTCAAAACAAAGGGAATTCGATTCCAAGAGGAGAAATTGCACCAATTAAAATGAGTTGGGAGTAGGCTTGTCACTGATACCTGAAACTCCATGGCCTGATCCAACATACGATCTGATTATCCAGAATTCAGATTATGTGTTTATGTAATCGGATAGGGCTACAAACGGATCGGATTGGATTTGGTAAGGGGTATATCCAATCCGATCCGATAAGAAATCCGAATGATCCAAACCTGATAAGAATTCATCATATTTTCAAAAGTATGATTCGAATTCAAATTCAAATATCTTATCGGATATCCAATTCGATTAGAATTGTAATAAAGAATTTTATGAGATAATATAATTAATACATTATATTATTTATATAATACAATAATATATTATAATATATACTATATAATTATATAAATAATAAATAGAATATACATATAAAATATATAGCATTTCATAACTAACAGACCAGATCGGGTCATGGTAGATCGGATAGGGGTATATCTGAATTCGATTCGTTGGCTGAACGATCAACTTTTCCGATCCAATCTTATTTGTTAGGATCAAGGGAGGCATCTGAATCTGGCTCTTATCAGATCGAACCGGATTAGGTCCAACTTATTTGCAGCCCTATAATCGGATCGGATTTGGATTTGACTCTACCTTATCCGATTAATATCTTAATCGAATTATATCATAATATTCATTGATATTAATATATAAAATCTATATAATTATATTTAAAATTATAAAAAAACTATTTTTATATACTATATTATATATGAATTTATATATAATAAATTCAACATGTTATATTTAAATTAATATATTATATATAAAAGTTGAAAAGTAATTAACTTTTTAATTTTTTTATATTTTAAAAATAAAAGCAGGGTTGGATTAAATCCAATCAGAGTCCGTTAGGATTCATATTCGAATATGAGGTCTTCAAATCCAATTGGATTTCCTCTACTGGTTCAGGTTGTGAAGGACGAAGTAGTAGCAATCAAAACCCTATCAGTCGTTTCATCCCAATCGTGTACAGCCATGTCTAGAAGGAAGGTTAGTGAACCCAAGGAGGAGAATGTGACACTTGGACCAACTGTCCGAGAGGGGGAGAACGTTTTTGGGGCTGCTCACATTGTTGCATCATTTAATGACACATTCATTCATGTAACTAATTTGTTAGGAAGAGAAACCATTGCCCAAACTACTGGAGGCATGAAAGTCAAAGCTGATAGGAATGAGTCTTCATCATATGCAGCCATGCTTGCAGCACAAGATGTTGCACAGTGGTGCAAGGAGCTTGGTATCACCGCTTTGCATATCAATCTTCATGCTACTAGTGGGAACAAGACAAAGACACCTGGTCCTAGTGCCCAATCTGCACTTAGAGACCTTGCTCGGTCTGGGATGAAAATTGGCCGTATTGAGGAGCTTGGTCCTAGTGCCCAATCTGCACTTAGAGCCCACCTGCACTGTACTCACAGAAAGGGTGGCAGAAGAGCAAGGAGGCGGTGAGTTCGCTTTTCACAATACCAAATCAATTGTGGGTGGTGGGTTATTTCAAGAGGATTTTTTTCTAGTTGAACCATTTTTGTAGTTTTTAACATAAAGATAATTTTTGTTATTTACTTTTTGGAGATTGTTAGTTTTTGATAAAAAAAAAAAATTCCAATCAGATTCGGATTTTGTTGGATCCAATCCGTTTACAACCTAGTTGGGAGAGCCATGGGCCTGATACTCAAAACTGCTTCACTAACAAGATTGTTGGGCTATTTGGCCAGGCCAATAATACCAGAAGCCAGGCCAGCATACCCTTCAAACTGTTATCAAGGACCATGATGCAAGCCCATGGAGAAAAGGGCTTGTGTTACAATTGTGAGAAGTTTTGGCCTGGCCCTAAAAGTAAATCCCAACAGGCTTCTCTGCTACAAACAGATAGGCCCTTATTGATCAAAAAAAAAAAGATAGACCTAAAGTTAAAGAGGCCTTAGATCTGAGAATAAATGAATCAACAAAAGGCCAAACTTTGGCCAATACATTCGTCCACCTGAAGTTTCCTTGCAAGCATTAACTGGGCTTGTGTCCCCTCAGACCATAAGAATCATGGACCAGCTAAAGAATCAGGTTTTTCCATTCCAATTGATAGTAGTGGAAGCACACTTAACTTCATAACTAGTGTGCTAGTTCACATGGCCTGACCACACAACCCACACCTCCCTTCACTGTGCATAAGAATCATGGACCAGCTAAAGGATCAGGTTGTTTCCATTCCAATTGATAGTGGAAGCACACCTAACTTCATAACTAGTGCGCTAGTTCACAAGCTTGGCCTGACCACGCAACCCACACCTCCCTTCACTGTGCATATAGCTGACAGAAACCAATTGTCTTGTGACAGCATTTGCAAGGACTTGCTTCTCAAGGTGACACCTCATCAATTCAAAGTACAGTTGTACCCACTTGAATTATATGGGGCTGATTTTGCAATAAGGAGTTCAATGGCTGAGGCAACTAGGGCCAGTAGTATGTGATTAGGCCCGCCTCCCCATGGACTTCATGCTGATATACAAGTTCAAATTTCTAATTGAGAGATGGCACTAATTCAAGAGAAAAATTGAAACAAAGGAGAGAAAGGAGGGGGGGATTTGGGGAATGGGTTATACAGCTATCCCTCTTTCTTTTATGCATAACTTATGCAGATATTACAATAGTGAAATGGCCTTCAAGATTGCAAAGTCCATGCCTCTAAAGAAGGTTGTACACCAAGAGATGAAGGTTTCAAAGACTTTGGGGCTTTTCTTCTTGAATAGAGGAGTTTGATGAAGCCAATTTTAGAAGATTGTCATCTGGGATTGCTCCACCCAGTTGTTGATTCTAAATTTCTTTTTTTTTTATCAATAGCAGAAAAGCTTTCATTAATTAAGAAAAGAATTACAATTAAACACAACAGAGAGAGATAAACTCTCATAACTCTCTCCGAGGAGACTAGGCATCAGCAAAAGAATTAACAAAACTTTTAGCCCACTGAAGCTTAACTTCTATGCCTTGACTTACCCATTTGAACTTTCTTCTTTCATTAATGTAATTCCACCAACCCAACTCCTTTTGCGGCCAACTAATTGCCAGCTTAGACCCTGTTTGGCAACGTTTCCCGCATTCCCGGTGTTCTCACGGAGCAGAAACGCATTTGGCTCAAGAAAAACAAAAAAAAAGAAAAAACAAGGTGTTCTCGCATGAGAACAGCACCCAAAGAACGTGTTCTTTGGGATTGAAAAATCAACACTCCCAAAGAATGCGTTCCCAAAGAAAACACAACTCCCACGACATTAACCCCTACTAGCAAACACGTGTTATCGACTCCCACATGAGAGGAGGGGTATTTTGGGTATTTTGCACTAAATAATAGAAAGAAGCCCTGCCAAACCAAACATTTTCGTTCGATATTGAACTCCTCCAACTTGCCACTGCAAATCTCAAAGGAAGGAGGGATTCCCTTGGCTCCAACTAGACGGCGAGCGAACGATAGAAAGCACCGGCAACATTTCCAGCCAGGAATGCGTCAACAGGTATGTTGTCTCATTACCGTACCTGGTTTTGTATCGTGTGTTCTATTTTAAACTCACCTTTTCTCCGGCCAGATTCACCTGAATTCGTTTTTGCTCCCACCACAAAGATGAGTTTTAAACAATCTAAAACCGATGCGATCTGAAATCATTTTTCTTATATTATTTTGTTAGCATTTGTTATGTTTTATGCCAAATGGGTGTGGTTTCTTCTTTAATCCCATCGATGGTTATATGTTATGCCGAATGGGTGGGGTTTCTTCTCTAATCCCATCATTGTGTTTTGTTATGTCTTTCATTATATGTTGAATATCACAAAAATTGCCCTTTGTTATGTGTTATGAACCTTTGCAAACCTAATGTAAAGAAATAGTTTCATTATCCAAATGCTATTTCTGTTCCTATCGAACAAAAATCCGTTCTCGAAGAACAATTTGCCAAACGTATCTATTACTCCTGAAGAGCAAGAAATAAAATTCTTGTTCTAGAACAGGAATTTCTAAAACAGGAACAGGTGGGAACATTGCCAAACAAGGCCTTAGAGTCCCCTTCAATGATCAATTTTCTGATGTTTAGCTCTTCTGCTTTCCGAACTCCCTACATCACAGCCATGATCATAGCCCTCAAGGTCCCTTGAACCAATGGGGCCTCTCCCCTCCTCATTCCAAAAGACACCCACTATATGCTTGACGGGCCCAAGTTTCTGTCACTACTTCCATCAAAGTTCAGCTTGATAAACCCAGAAGTAGAAGGGGACCAAAACAGCTTGATAACAGTCTTGGATAAAGATGAGTTAGCCACTTCCTTCCATTTCCTAAGTAGGTCATCGATGGGTAAGCCTTCAAACCGGCTCAAAGATTTCACCCAATGAACCACTCTCATGGTAATGGTTTCAATGAGAACCTCTTTACTTCTCTCCTTGTCTGAAAAAACTCTTTGGTTCCTTTCCTCCCAAACCGACCAGTCTGAGATCACAAGTATTGATTCTTTCGAGGATAGCTTCCCAACCAAAACCACTAACCCTAGGAGGAATAGGTTTGTTCAAAAACTCTTGGGTCAAGGCCAAGAAAAAGGAAGCACAAGAGAAGACACTAGAAGAAGCAGAGGACCAAAACCGACCATCAGACACTGAGGGATTCAATAATACCCCATACAAACTATGAAGTTGGAGACACAATTTAATTCAACATCTCTAAGTCCCCACCTAAGCCCCAAATTCCAAGCAAAGCCAGAACTAGAAAGGAGTGTATGTTTCTCAATTTAGAGGAGTTCAATCATTTAGGTTCCTCCTAAATAAAGGCAACCAAACAACTCTACCATTGGCAATTTCACAATTTCCCTTCACTAAACCATTTATGTTCTGGAATAACATATAGAGTTGAAGAAAGCACTACTTCAAAGGTTTATCATCACATTATGCATCGGTCAAGATCCTAACCTTGCTACCTTCACTGACATTGTAATTGATGCCTTTCAAAAATTCTGAATAGATTTTTTTAAACAAAAAAGAAAAAAAAATTAAAGAGGAGAATACGAGAAAGGTGATAAGAAATCACTCTAGAGAAGGGCAAAAATATGAAAAGATCGCCCCCTACAACCACAACCAAGGGAAAACCACCACTACTAGAAACACACAATAACAAACACCAAACAACCACCTCAACTCAAAGCCTTCCATTGAAAAAACAAACAAAAACCCAACACAAAACCAGAGTTACTTCTTAGCTTCAAAAGAACAGCACAATTACGGTTTTCCTTCTTGCCACATTCTTGGGTATCTTCACTACTTTAATAGGCCCCATACAAAAAAGACCCCCTTTCAGCCTAGCAAAGGCTTTTGAGACCTGAATAGGCCGTTGATTTTTTGGACATCTAAAGTGTTTCACAGCATTCAAAACCAGCTTTGAATCCTTCAAACGCTAGCTGCTTCCTCCCTAGGTGTGCAAGTCGGGTACCAGATTTGAAGAGTACATTGCTCCATTTTTCTACTATCTCCCCGACTGGAAACTCACCCCCTCTTCATACCCTCTTTAAAAGCAACCCCTTCAATTTCAAAAAACATCACCCCCTCATGTTGTCCTTATCGCCAAACCTGAAACAACCAATCCCCTTACATACTTTCTCTCTTCCCCTACTTTCTTCTTCCATCTTTCTGAAAGCTTTCCAAGATGTTTGTTTGTGGAAGTTCTCGAATGAAAAAAAAAAAAAAAGAAAATTAACCAGCTCACTCAAAACATGCAAATTCAGTTTCAGTGGTCCAAGAGGAGTGCCAATTCTTTCACAGACTCTTTGGCTAAACAAGGGATGGGAAGAGCTAGTTTCTTTTGGGCTTTGTGTAATTTGATGTTTACTTTTGGGTGGGGTAAGAGATTTTACCCCCCCCCTCCTGTTGTATCTTCTACCATCTCCTTTTATTAATAAAAGTTTCTGTTATTGATCAAAAACAAAATTACTCTCCACCCCCCAAGTACAAAAACAAAATTTTACTCATCTCAACCTCCATTTCAACAACTGTCTTGATGTTAATTAATTTTTCCACTTAGTGGGTTTCATCTAGAAACACCTCTTCTGAGTGATCATCCTCGATCCTATCCTCTTCAATCTCTTCACCACCAACTCCCAACGGCTTAGTTCTGTATTTTTCCTATTGTAAACTTTGATCTTAGTCCCTTTTCCACTACGAACTACTCCAAAAACACCTCCCATTTCCTTGTCCTACCTCTCTTCTCTTTTCCTACAAATAGCACCCCCACTATCCTTCGAGCAACTCGAAAATGCAGCTACTCCCCTATCAACCTCAATCTCCGCTAACACACCCAGATAAATCTTGCGATTGCTCTCCACTTCTAACCTCCCTCCTAAATCTTGCAGCTTGCCCTCCTTAACCTTAGCACCCTCATCCAAACCAACCACAATTACTTCCTGAATAGAAACCTCCCTCTACTATCCACATTGGCACAAACCTTCACTAGGGGAAGAACCGCACAGCCATCACATTCAGCTTCAAAACTCTTAACAAAAGAACCAATCCCTTGACTCTCATTAGCAGAACCCACCCTCCTAGTGAACCCTTGAATCTCACCCAACGATCTACCCAGCTCACAAGCATATTCAAATGAACAGCTGCCCCTAACTTCCCCAACAAAGAAAAAAGAGCATCCACCCCCAACTCTTGGCCACCCCTCAACAAAAGTAGAGGTTTGAATAGCAATACCATCTTTAACAAACAGATAAACTTGGGAATGAAAACCATCTTTAATTGTGTAATGAACAACCCCGTCATCTCCTTTGACTCGTCCAAAATCAACTAAAGAATAGCCCCCAAGACTCGTTCCGGACCAAGATACATTTGACTAACGAATCACTAACACATTGCCCTTTGTATCTCGTGACCATCCAAACTCAATCTAGCCACTCTATAATCTTACCGCCATCTCCAAGCTTACCAATGTGCTTGTTTGCCTCCTTCCCAACACCATAGCCATACTCTGCCTTAACCCCAAGCCTCAAAGATTCCTCATCCAACCCCGCCCTTTCCTTCTTAAAAATATTCAACAATTCAACCAAAGACCTGGACCATTCCACACACCATTCTGAAAATTGGCCAAACCAAAGAAATTAAGAGTTTTAACATTATCAAACCGCTTCGCCAATTTAAAGCTTTTTGCCTTCTTATTACTTACTTCCCTCTCCACATGGCCCTCAATAAAATTATCCGTTTCAAATACCAATTTTATTCCCAAAAATGCCCTTGTCTTCAACCTCTTGTTTCTAACCTTTCAACTTCCTACTCCCCTCCACACCAAACCTCAAATTTGTCTTCTCCAGCCTGACTTTGAATCAACAACTCTCAAGAGATCAAGCCAACTTAGTGGAATGGTGCCATCAACAACCAATCTTAAATTAAACCATTCCCCAACAAAACACAGTGCTAACGATGAAGGGATTAAATGGGTTTCCTCAACTTCAACTAAAATCCTTGCAACAACCAAATTCTTCCAGGACCAAGTATTAGTATTTTTTTGGTAATAAAAAAGAAAAACAAATATTAAAATAAAGAGAGATAAGACACACATATGACAACTAACAAGAAATCACCCCCCAGAAAGATAAACACCCAAGGCCCGATAGAAACAAAGCCCTTTGACCCTAAATTGAATTGTTGAAACAACAGAAATCTCCAAAAACCAAAAAAAACAAAAAAAAAAAACAAAAACAAAAACAAAAACAACCAAATTAACACCCTGATCCCCAACA